CTGGTACTAAGAGGACTAAAAATTATGCTGAGATCCCTTATTTCTCCTGTCAGATTGATAGAAATCCAAGCATTTGCTAACTATTGGCAGGGGCATGGTGAAGTAGGCCATTTCTTACATTGCTGGAATCTCTAAATTGATGCAATCCATAGGGAGGGCAACTTAGCAATATATATTAGAATTTGAAATACACTCTGACCCATACTTCAGAGAATTTACCCAATTAATATGCCCACAGGCGTTAAATGACTTACACAGGCTATTCATTACAGTGTTTGTAAGGCAAAAAAAAAAAAAAAGAAAGCAAATTAAATGCCCATCATTAGAAGATTGGCAAATAAATTATGATAAATTCATATAATGGCTATGTAGCTGGTTAGAAATTTTTAGTGAGTAAGAAAAAGAATGAAGAGCTAGGTACAGTGGTGTGTCCCTGTAATTCCAGCTTCTCAAGAGGCTGTGGCAGGAGTATCATGAGTTCAGGACCAGCCTGAGCGACATAGAGACCCCCCATGTCAAGTAAAAAAAAAAAAAAAAAAAATCTGTATTGACTTGTTAAAAAAAAAAAACTCTTAAATTATGTGGTTAAGAATGCAAAATACAGCATTATGTGGAAAGGGGGATGCATATTTCTATTTGCTTGTATGTACATAAAGAAACTTTGAAAGGATTTACTACAGCACAGTAACAGTAGGAAGCTGGAGGTTAGGAAACAAAGTAGGTTATTTAAGAATTTACATTTGAAAAGAAAGAAGAGGGAGACTTTTACTGTATACCTTTTTATGCTTTTTAACTTTGGAACCATGTTAGTGTTTTTATCTTTAAAGAAATTGTGCCTTTAAAAAAAATTAAAAATAGTGTGCAAAGTACTACAAAGAGGAGGGAGGGGGAGAGGGAAAAGAGGAGGAGAGTGAGTGTGTGTTACTGTGAGGTTACACAGTGCTCTAGTAGACGATTTTCAGCAGGGAGGGTGGGATTGGCTCAAGTTCCTTATAAACCAGAACATCCAGTACAGTCTCATGCCAGACTTAACCTAATTACACTGTTCTTATAGCCTAGCAGGAGGTCTGTGGAGCCACAGAGAGAGCACAGGTTTTGAAGCAGGAGACTAGAATTTGATTCCTGCCCCTGCTGTTTTGTGGTTGTGACATTTTGGACATTAGTTTTGTGAATAAATGAGATATGAAAGGGCTTTGTAACTTATCAAATAGTTGTTATTACTTGTATTTCAGTTTCCAGTCATCATTAGTCCACCTATCAAACTGGTCAGAATTGTATTGCTGAACACATTTTAGCTCCTTCTCTGAGAAAACAGAAATCTCTCTCAATTCTCCTGTTCCTCAGCTGCCTACACCCCTGTTCTCCAGACCTCACCTTCCTCATAACCATTCCATCCTATTGGACTTTGGTCTCTTTAGTGATTTGGGTTAAGCACAAATTATCTTTCTTGGTGTCTGTATTTATACTTTTGCCTTATGTGCTTTTGGAATAATCATTCCGTTCCTCATAGGGTTTGGGTTCTCATAAGTATTTTCTCTGTGAGGTTAAAGAATTCTTCCTGCTATCCATATTTAGGAATAGGGGTACCAAAGCCTTAGTATGACCAACTCTCTCCTTTTGTTTCCTCATTTTATCCCCTACACAGTTCTATTAGTTATCATCCCCTTGTGTATTATAATCTCTTCACCTCTGTACTTTGACCTAACACGTATGTTCAAGTCTCTAACAGCTCTGAAATAATTTTTTTGGGTTTGAGTCCCTCACCTCACCAGACTTTTTTGTTTGCTTCAAAGAATGACTGCCTTTATTTCTCAGTTTCCATTCATTTCTCAATCCATTATCATAAAAACCTTGGGGAACTTCCCACTGCTAAATTCAGTGGCTTTCCTGCTTTTATTCTACCTGTTGATGACATCTCTTTGAATTGTGCTCCTCTTTTGCTTCTGTTATGGGTTGCTGGGTATTCTTCCCGCTTCTTTTTTTATAATCTTTTTTGGTGGTACTGGGGTTTGAACTCAGGGCCTCATATTTGCTAGGCAGACACTCTACCACTTGAGCCACTCTGCCAGCCTTGGGGTTTTGTGTATGTGTATGTGTTGGGTATGTTTGAGATTTGTCTGGAGATGGCTTTGAACTTTGATACTCCTGATCTTTGCCTCCAGAATAGCTAAGATTATGGGGTTGAGCTACAATTGCCTGGCCCCTTTGTCCTGTTTTTAATTTCTCTTGCTGCTGTTTCTCCTATCTCCTCTGTTTAAGCTTGAGGGTTATGCACACTCCTCTACTTGGTCATTTTCTCACTGTGTTTTTCCTTCCGTAGCTGTTTGGATTATGTTAATGACCAACAAGTCCATACCATTCCTGTTTTCCATCTCTACCCTCTCCCTGAGGTTTTGTTCATTTTTCTGGCTGTTGACTTCGAACTCTCTTTCTGAGCTTTGACATTCCTCTTTCTAGCTGCTTTTGGATTTTCCTGCCTGGTTGCAGGTATTTCAGAATTTATTTATTTATTTATTTATGGTGGTACTGAGGTTTGAACTCAGGACCTCATGCTTGCTTGGCAGGCACTCAACCACTTGAGCCACTCTGCCAGCACTGAAGATATTTCCCCTCACTGAAGCCTGCTTATCATCTTATGTTCCCTATCTTCTGTCAGTGCCATCACTACCTAGCTTGTCCCTTATGCTAGAAACCTCAAAAGACATCCTTGGCTCCTTTCTGACCATTTACAGGTAACTTGTACCAAAACCCTGTTGATTCTAGTTTTGGAATATTTTCCTCATACATCTGGTTTTCATTGCCATTCAGTGAGATTTCTTATAAATGAGACAATCTGATTGTGTTACTTCCTCAACTTTAATAATCTTTCTGACTTCAATTGCCTACAAGATAAAGTCTGAATTCCTTAGCAGGGCAAAGTTCTTTACAACCTGTTTCTAAAACTACCTTAGGGATTTTTTTGTTTTGTTTTGTTTTTGCGGTTCTGGGGTTGAACTCAGAGCCTTATGTTTGCTACACAGGCACTCTACCATTTGCACCATGCCTCTAGTCCTACCACCTTAGGAACTTTTTAAGGACAAGGGGGTTTTTGTATGTGTGTGCTGGGGGCAGGGGAGAAATACTGGTGACCAATCAAACCCAGAGCCTCATACATGGTAAGTAAGCACTCTACCACTAAGGTGCACCCCCAACCCTCTTTAAAACTTTATTTTGAGATAGGTTCTTGCTATGTAGCCTAAGCTGACATCGAACTCATCCTCCTGGGTGCTGGGATTACAGGTATGCACCCCCAAACCTGACTCAGAGGCTAGATCTTATTAAGTTCAATATTGCCACAGCAGAGCGTCTGGAATATTACAGCCTTTTGGTGATGGGACTGGGATTTGAACTCAGGGCTTCACACTTGCAAAGCAGGTGCTGTACTGCTTGAGCCAACTTCTAGTCCATTATACTCTGATTATTTTGGAGATGTAGTCTTAAGAACTATTTGCTTGGACTGGCCTTAAACCTTGATCCTCCTGATCTCAGCCTCCCAAGTAGCTAGGATTATAGGTGTGAACCACTGGCACTTGGCAATATGATAGGATTCTGATGGTTTCTTGTGGGTGTATTGTAAATGAAGTAGAAGAGAGCCCTCAGCCCATACTAAGGCTCTAGAAGCCCCCATGTTGTCTTGCAAATGGTAGATTAGGAAGTGATGAAGAACTTGACTTTTGGGGGTGGGCCAGCCCACTAGCTGTGGCTATTCCTTGCCTGAGCAGCAGTGATGGTGGGGTGACTAAGAATTAAAGGAAATGTACATATTATAGTCCCTGGTATGTTGGAATCATTTTACACTAATATTAAGTGTGGGATTTTTAAATGAATAATAATAACACTCTGCAGTAATAATTATACTCCGTAATCAAGGGTGATGTTATAGGAATAGCTTGTTTCAAATAATCTTCCTGAGAGAACTTTGGCTTCATCTAGTTTCATTTCACAAGCAACAGTAACTACCATTCTGTATTCATTTCCTATTCACTTATCTCCGGAAAGGCAGGGTGCTTGAGGGTTAGGGGTTTTTTTGGTTTTGGGTTTTTTTTTCCTATTACCTATTATTTTTATTATTGTTTGTTGTTACTGCCCTTGTTATTCATTTTACCCTTTAAAAAAGTGAGTTTTAAGATATGAATAGTAATACCAAAAGAGAAGTTGAACTTGAAGAATAAGAAAAAATAAACCCAAGGGTTGGGGGTGTGGCTCAGCAGTAGGTCACCTGCCTAGCATGTGGTTTTGATTCCCAAAACCACACCTATAAAAAAGGTATAAACCTGAGATAAGGACAAATGTAACAAAAATGCTATTTGGATTAAGGGTGTAAGGAAAGTAGAGTCTAAGAAAGGTTCTGATTTCATTTAGTCATTCATCAATTGTGTTTTGTTCTCATCAGAATTGTTTAAGGCTCAGTTGCTCCCTAGGAGAATTTTTTCAGTTGAACAGTTTTTTTTTAGATAATTGTAGCTTTACATGCACTTGTAAGAAATAACATAGATCCCTTGAGTTTTAAGCCCTTACTAATAATGAAAGTGCTATAGTTCCTTACATAACTGGTGTGAATTGCAGGTAGAAAGTGAAAGGATGGATGTCCTTAGTCTGCTTGCAGCTGTAGCAAATTAGAAAAGTTGGACGCGGATGTCTGTAATTAAGCTAGCCTCCAAGGACATACAGTTGTCTTAGGTGGAAAAAAGTGGAATGAGTGAGTGAGGTAAGCCAAGACCCAAGTAAGGTGGAGGACCTGAGAGTCTTCAGGAAACAACGGTAAATAATTGAGACATTTGAACTACACGCTACCTATGAGTTGGCTGTTTCTTGCCTCAAGTTTCTAGAATGCAAGTAATGACCAGTCCATTACAGTTAAATCTCAGGTCTGAGCGTTACATATTCTGGTTTTGGTATAGAATACCTTGATTCTGCTGAGAATTGTGATTTACTGACACAGTTTTCCTTGTGGTTTTTAGAATGACAGTCGAGAACGCCAGGAGTTCAATGACAGGCGGAGACTTGGGAACCCTGAGCCAATATCTAATGGCCAACCCCAGAGTAACTCACGGCAGGTGGTGGAACAAGATGAGGAAGAAGATGAGGAGCTGACATTGAAATATGGTGCCAAACATGTCATCATGCTCTTTGTCCCTGTGACCCTCTGCATGGTAGTGGTTGTGGCTACCATCAAATCAGTCAGCTTTTATACCCGGAAAGATGGACAGCTGTACGTAAGAGTATTTTGTTTTATTATGCTTTTCTTCACAGCATGATGTCATCACCTTGAAGGCCTCTGCCCTGGAAGAACATGAAGGAGTCTATCTTTTCTGATGGGAAGAAGCATTGGATAGAGCAAGGAATAATTGCTTGATCCTTTAAGTGGTAAAATGAATGCTACAGAATTGTTTTCCTGGATGGCATCATTGGATAGGGCTGAATTAACTTGGAATCAAGCAAATTAAGAGTAGTGTATCCCTCTTCAGGGCCATTGGGACTTTCATTCTTATGCTTGGAATATTCTTTCCTTTTCTAACTTTGGTGGATTACATTCCTATCATCCTTTTCATCTTGGTTTAAATGGTAAGTCCTCAAAAATAACTTCCTTCACCTCTTAACAGAATTGGATCCTTCGTAGTATTCTTTCTCATAGCAATGTATTCTTTTAAACTTGTCACAGTTTGCAAATAGTATACTTATTTACATTATTACTGCATCATTTCCTTTTTTTTGTAGTACTGAAATTTGAACCCAGGGCCTTGCATATGCTAGGCAGATGCCCTACCTCTTGAGCCATACCTCCAGCCCTTTTTGGGTTGCTTATTTTCAAGATTGGGTCTCACTTTATGCCCTGGCCAACCTGGACCACCACCATCCTTTGTTTGTTTCTCCCACATGACTGGGATGACAGGCATGTACCACCACACCCAACCATTGGCTGAGATAGGATTTCATGACCTTCTTGGGCAGGCCTCAAACTGCAATCCTCCTGATCTCCGCCTCCAAAATAGCTAGGATTATAAGTTTGAGCCACTTCACCCTACATGATTTCTTTAATTGTCTCCAGAGTGACATATATAATAAATACTCAGAAAAAATAAAAGTTGTTAACTAAGTGGGTAATGAATAAGTAATGTAAGCTGGCATTTTCTATACTTGGGGAGCTGTCATGTGGATTCCTTGGTGCTCTTGATGTGAGCCTTGGCCTCTAAGAAGAATGCTCCAATTTAGGTGTCATTTAGTTATGTCTGTAGGACCTGGAGTTTAAGAAGAGGTTTTTTTGTTTGTTTGTGGGTTTTGTTTTTTTTTTCTTCTTTTTTTGCAGTACTGAGGTTTGAACTTAAGGCCTCTTATTTGCTAAGGAGGTACTCTGCCACTTGAGACACTCCACCAGCCCCAAAAAGAGTTTTAAGTGAGTTTTAGAATGAAAAATTGGGAAGTGTCTGAAAAACTGCATGGTGTTCTGAAAACCAAACTCTTAGCTTTTTGGGAATATGGCTAAGACACAAATAAAGGGCAGGGGTTAGAGACAATAGCCAAAGGGATTGGAGAATAAATTAAGTTATTTAACTAAGTTAGTTGCACTGTATATTATAAGATAAGGATTGGCAAGCTGCAGCCCACAGCCCAAATCTGCCTTCCGCCTGTTTTGTGAATAAGGATGACTATGTCCATTTGTTTATATTTTGCTCATTATTGCTTTCACACTACAGAGGCATATTTGAGGGGTTTCAACAGAGACCATGTGACCCACGAAGTTTAAAATATTTACCATCTGGCCCTTTGCAGAAAGGTTGTTGACCCTGTTATAGAAAGTCAAAATAGGTACACCTATTTTCTTTCTCCTGTAGAATAGTGCAAAGGTAGGCAGTCTGGATTGGGATAGTGGCTTCACATTCATCAAGGACTTCGACTCCTTCCTTCTTCAACTTCTGTCTTCCAAGTTACTTCAGGGTCCAGACTGGAGCCCCAGTCTTCCATTCAGATAGCAGGAAGCAGTCAGGGAGAAAACGGCATAGACATCTTTCTCAGCACACTTCTTTCTGAGAAGTTCCTTATACAACACATCTACTTATAAGTCATTGGGCCATTACTTAGTCTCATGACCACACCTAACTATTAGAGAGGCAGAAATAGGGCTTGGGGCATGGCTCAAATGATAGAGTGCAGTAAGCATGAAGCCCTGAGTTCAACCCCAGTACCATAAGAAATATGGGTGGATATGGGGGGAGGGGTTGGAGAGGAAGAAAAGGAGGGAACATTAGCACATGGAATAAAAGTATTTTTATGTAAGTGAGAAATAAGGGAAAGATGGGTATGTGACATTAACTCAAGACAACACCAGTTACAATCATCCTACAGATAAAGGACAATGATTGTGAGCCACATTACCTTCCACTAACTGCCACCTGTCAGCATAGGTAGTTTATGTGACAACCTGCTTATTTAACAGATTACTAATAAGCTGTCCAGAAAACATTGGATGAGGTAATTATTTCAATACAAAGCATCCACTAGATGGAGCCTAGTACCTGGTTCACATGTAAATTCATCTCCCTGTCTTAGATCTTTTATTCTGAAGCAATTATTTTAGAATGTAGTGATTTTTCTTAGGTTAAAAATTTTAGCTAAACTGATAACTCTGAGAAGGGCCTTCAAAGGCACTAATTGAATCAAAGACAACAAAATGATGGTGTTGGAGGGAGTATGTGGTTTGGAATGTCCAAACACTTACCTAGGCTTTTATATTTTGTTTTATTATAGAATCTATACCCCATTTACAGAAGACACCGAGACTGTGGGCCAGAGAGCCCTGCACTCAATTCTGAATGCTGCCATCATGATCAGTGTCATCGTCGTCATGACTATCCTCCTGGTGGTTCTTTATAAATACAGGTGCTATAAGGTGAGCATGAGACACAGCTTCGTGTTCTGCCTTGTTCTGTTTATGACTGGGTTTTCTTATTACATACCTTATTGTGATCTAGTAAAGAAAAAAGCTCTTATATTTTAGACTAAGTTAATTTTTAGTTATCTTCCCCCTTATTGTGGAATATTTTTAAAATATAAAAAGGCATAAATAGAAAGTGAATCATGTAATATCTAGTTTTAATATCCATTGTAAGTATACTTGTGACATTCCAAATGGATATACCCTAAGTCCTTTTGTGTATCCCCTCATTTACAAATAGCACTATAGGATATAATTATGCCTATAAAGCAACCTTGAGATGCTGGTGTTAAATTCATAAGTGACTGACCATATCTTGTTTCTAAACTGGTAGCCATATACTCTTTCTCGTACTGTAGTACTACTTTTCTAGGGAAGTAGGAAGAAGGGATAGGGAAGTTGTGCAGGAAAGACACAGGCCCAACCCTCCCAGTCTCTCCTCCCCTAGTTCTCTTTCTCACAGTGACTCACTTCTGAATTTCAACCACCTGGGACATGTTTCAGACTCAAGCCTCAGAAAAACAAATTATTACAAGTCATGGACCTTTAAGGTCATTCTCAAATAAATAGAAATTGTAAATGTTAACAAATATTGGCATATTCATTATTTTCTTCTAGTATTTTTCTGTATATTTTTAACATGGCTAATATGTATAATCAGTATGTATCTTTCTTAAGTTTGGCCTAAGCATTTTTACATATTATAAATTCATAGAAAATGTTTTTATGGCTACATATTTGACTAAATTAACAAATTGTAATTTATGTCTTCTGATTTCTCTGGTGTTAGACATTTAGGTTATCTCTAATTACTCACTGTTATTAAAAAAAAATGTCTGTATGCATAGAACTTTTCCAATTATATCCTTAGTGTAAAATCCTACACTTTGAATTTCTGGGGCAATTTAACTACATGTTTTTACTCTCTTAGTATGCAAAATTCCTTTTCAAAAATGTTATATCCATTTGTTCTTGACACCAGTAGAGAATGACAGCGTCTATCTTACCCACCTTCACCAGCATTAAATTTTTATTTTGTTATTTATTTTATTTTTTACTGGGGTTTGAACTTGGAGCCTCATGGTTGTTCTACAGGCACCTCTACCTCTTTTTTTGTTTTTTGTGGTTTTTTTACTCTTTTTCCTTTAGTGTTGGGTGAGGGTACATTGTGGCATTTACACAGGTTCTTAGAAGGTATCAAATATATCATACATGAATTCACCTCTTCTACCATTTTCCTTCATTCCCTCCCTCCCTCAGTTCCTGGAGTGGTTTCAGCAGGTACCATTTTTGCATTTACATATATATGTACACATTTTTTGTACTGTATTCATCTTCCTGCCCCCTTTCTCCAACACTTCCCCACTCCCACTGGTGCCAGCCCTGCATTCTTACCTCTTGTACCACTCCACAGCCCTTTTTTGTGGTGGGTTTTTTTCAGATAGGGTCTTGGGAACTATTTGCCTGGGGCTGACTTTAAACTGCAATCCTTCTAATCTCTGCCTACTGAATAGTTAGGATCACAGGCCTGAGCCACCTGTACTTGGCAGCATTGAATTTAAAAAAAAAAAAAACTATGCTAATTTTTTATAGGCAAAAATGTCTTAATTTGCATTTAGTTGATTACTGGTTATGCTTGTAAAATTATAAAGTTGTAAAATTATAACGTTTAGCCTTGCTTGTTGATCTTTAAATGAATGGAAATTTTAACCTAAGTGATGGCCATCTGCGGTCTGACATTATAAGATGGTGACCATTGAAGACAAAAGGTATGTGTAGTGGTAACAGGTCACCATCAATATTCAGAAAGCCAAAGAGCAAAAAATTTAAGCCCACCCCCTACTTTGAATATGCTCTCTTAATTTTCTTTTTTCTTTTTTTTTTTTTTTCTTTTTTTTTTTTTTGCAGTATTAGGGCTTGAACTCAGAGCCTACCCCTTGAGCCACTCCACCAGCCCTTTTTTGTAATGGGTTTTTTTGAGATTTGATTCAGCTGGCTTTGAACCATGATACTCCTCATCTCTTGCTTTCTAAGTAGCTAGGATTACAGGCATGAGCCACTGGCTCACCACCTTTTCTTGTTTTTCTTTATCCTTCTTTCACCATCTATATATTTTGTCTGTGTGCAAGTATTTACATATCAATTCAATTTCTGTACTTCATTATACTCACTTTGACTTTAATCTGAATCATATGCTACCTTTGATTTTTTTTGTTTCCTTTTCAGATTTTGTTAGGGGATAGAATTACGTGTTTCCTTTCTTATAATCTAGAATTTGCTTCCAGATTTCCTGCTTTTCTTTTTCAAAATATCTGTGTGGTTGGATACATGGAGCTGTGGACTCAGAGCTCTGAGTTCTTTTTAGTAATCTTAGGAAATTACTTCATTTCTGTGTGCTTTTGCATTTTCACATGTAAAAGAGAAAGTACCTTCTCTAAGTACTTCTCCTTTTCTCTGCTTTAAGCATGAATGGGTTTTCCTAACCCATGTAGAGGATAATACAACAAACTTAAATTTGAGCCCACAATTTGGCCTGGATTGGCACACGGCCATTATTTAGAACTGAAATCCAGTCCTCAGCTCCCTGAAAAGTGGCTTCTCTCTTCATGTCTGCATGAAAAGTGCTCATCTTGTGGTTGCCAGTATTTTCCTTCGTCATACCTTTTGAACCTAACTTCTCTGGACCTTCTGCCATTGCTTATTGATCACCCTCTTTTGCTTAACATGCTTGCTGGCTTGCTTTTCTCCCTCCCTCAGTCCTCTTTCCAAATTCTTCTAAAGCTCATCAATCCTGAGACCCAGATGAATTGTTTCTCCCATTGCTTCTTAGCAAATTATGTTTCATTTCATGGCTTAAGTTTGCGTCCTCAAATACAACTTTTAATTCAGCATTTTTAGCCTAGCAGTCTCTGCTTACTAGGCCCATAGTTGGTGGTTTTATCCCCTTTGCATATCAATTCTACTAAGATACCTGCTAGCACATAAATTGAGCTAATTATCTTTTCTGCCAGTCAGTTATCCTCAGTAGGTCTGCTATTCTAGGGCCTTGTAGCTTTTAATTTTGTAATCATTACCATCTGTTATCTCCTTTATTACCCTTAACTAGTTAATTAGTTACTTTTGCTAGTTCCTTCTATTTGCCACTTCTGAGGCCTGCCCTTTCTGCATGATTCCCATAGCTTGACTTCTTAGCTGATCTTCTAAACTTTGCCCTCTTCCTTTCAAATACCACAAAAACAAAGACATGTATCTTACTTTTTTTTTTTAAAAAAAAACTCAGAGCTTCCTGTTCGCAAAGCAGGCGCTCTACCATGTGAGCCATGCCTCCAGTCCTGTGTCTTAACTTTTTTAACTAGTAAAAGTAGGACATGTTCACTGTTAAATTTGAAAACATTTAAAAAATTCCAAACAAGTATACCTGTATTTACCAGAGCAATCTTCACCAGTCCTGTTCCCTAGCTGTAACCCGTGTTTAATGGTTTGATATATCTTTTTTATTTTTGCCTTTTACTTGTATACTAATCCATTTAAAATATGTACTTTTTCAGGAACAGTAATTGAAAATTAGGCATATTAAACCTACTATTTTATAATATATAATACTCCCCTCCTTCGCATTTTCTTCTTTCACATGTTCTGTGTCTAATAATTTCAACATCTGAAGCTTTTGGCAAATATAATTCTGTTGTTGTTTACCCATGGTGATTCATTTCCTTGAGTATTTTATGATCATTTGAATTTATATTTGCAAAGATATGTTTTTGGAAATTCTGAGACCTGTGTTTTGCATGGACACTATAACCTAAATTTCTGAGTTATTACAGATTGACATATACCCAAAACTATCTGATAAGTTAGTTACTTCAGTACCTCCTTCCCCTCTGATTCCTATTTTTTCTCCTGTTTTTTTAGGGAGAGAGAAAGGGTTCTAAGAATTTTCCTCTTTGTGACTTCAAACTGTATTTTAAAATATATTTAAAATTTTTATACAGTATTAATGTTTCATAGGGAGAGGGTTTTTAGGATTTGATCTTTTTTATCACTAGAAATAGAGATCTTTTTTAATTTAGTGGTTCTAAGTTTATCATATAAAGTTAAAATCTATAATTGTGGATTAAAGAACACTTCTTGGGGCTCCATCATACTTTTCTGAATAGATTATTCACCTTTGTACACACAAAACATGGTTTCTGTGTCCTCTCCATGCTCTGCTGTTCACCACTATGTTGCTTGTGTAGAATGTTCTCTTTTTCTCTGCTCTGCAGTTACCCATATTCCTCCAGCCCTAGTGCTATCTTCTTACCTTCTTACCCCTGTGCTGATTTCCTGTCAGCTCTGTTGCCCTTTCTTTCTTCAGCAATGGGAGTACAAATAAGAGTGGCAGTTTTGTTTATTTGCTAACAGAGTTTTTTCTTTTAGTGTTGAGTTTGCTTATTTTCGTTTTGACTGTTTTAATGTTTTTTGGGGGTTCTGTTATTTTTCACTAAAAGGGACTGTGTATGCTGTAAATGTTTTCTTTGTAATTCCCCACAAGGTCATTGCACACATTGAATCTGCATGTACCAAGTGATTCTAACTCCCGCGAGGACTGGTTAGATGGATTGGAAGGTGCACTTAGGGTGGAATAATATAGACTCATTGTTAAAAGTGATTGAATTTTATATTTCTGTCTTTCTTGCTAGTTTTATGGTTAGCTATAGTCTTTTGGTACTTGGAGAATTAATGGTAAAAATGAAAATGCAGAAAGAGCTAAGGATGAGATGTCCCACAGAGGCTTCATAGCACCAACTAAAATTTCTAATCTATCTTAAGAGTGGTAAGAGTGGGCACACTTTATTACTACCTGTTTTAGGGGAAGTATTTAACCTTTAATCTTGCATCATTAAGTATGATGTAGACTTCAGGCAGTTTTGTTTTGGTTTGGGTTTTTTGGTTTTTGTTTTTATTTGTTTTTG